AAACAAGTTAATAGCCTAAATATCACGCATATTCCTGCAAATAACTATCAGGATCAATGCCAATTGAATCCAACCTCAGAAGTGCCAGAGCCATCGTCCTCACATGTCACAAAATCCTCCTCAGAGTAAGGGTTGTTTGTTTTTGTCAAGAGATAAACAACAACTATTTTTATTTGTATTGAGAGCTTCATTAATTCATTGGTGAGTGGTCATCCATATCTAAAATTCCTAACTCAAAACATTTCATTTGGGAGATAATCTTGCCTAAAAGTTCTGTTAATAATACATATTTATAACGAGAACAAAACTAAAACACATTTTTACTTATTGGTCCATGGAGGATACCCAAAGAGTGTGGCTTTATAAGTAACCGACATAACCACATCATTTGTATCAAGAAGAGAGGGAAGCACATCTTTGTACAACCCGTGTGCAAACTATATATACTAGTTTTTCCGATGATTGACCTATGTTGGAATGTTGTACGTGCCCAAATTGGTAAAACAAATAATCTTATCATTTAGGAATAATTAAAATTAAAAATGTTCAACTGAAACTTGCAAAACATGATCGAGTTTGTCCTAATTACTCTTTCAAACAGACATTCGAAAGAAATTAAATCAAATGGTTTTGGTGTATATCCCACTCGATTTTTTTGTGGCTTTATTCATCCATTCTAGTTTGAACAACAAAGTATACTTTTCTTTTCCCTATGTATAAACTAAAAACCTCTGTGTAAAATAAAAATGAATGGCAACTCAAAATTTATAGATTGATAATATCTTTTCATTTTTGTAACCATATATGATAGCATAAATCTTTAATTTAGTTATAGTTTAGGGTGAATTAGCGGACTGACAACATTGATCCATATATTAAAGAATATAGCCATACCATTCTAATAATAAAGTGAATAACAAAATCCTTCATTTTCTAACAATTTTACCCCCTTTGATGGAAAGCAATTCAATCTTCTTCTCCATCAAACTGTCTTCAATAACTCTGCTTTTCAACCACGATCCAACCATCTTCTTCTCAATCAAAACCCAATTAGAAAGGACCAGTCTTGACTCGACCATCTTTTATCAGTTTCATCACAAATATACACATGTTGCAATGATGAAACACATAACAGGAAAATAGAATAGACGTGAAACATATATATGTACAATTTCTATCCCTTTCGAAGCATGGGCATAGTATCTTGATCATGAATCTGTCTCTATTTTATCTCGAAATTCTACCAGAAGAAGTGTTTATGTTTTTTTTTTTTCCGGCAAACATGGCGAAACCCAAGAAATTTTCCGAGAAAATCTTCCTCACCCTCGATGTTTACCAAACCATCATCGAGCTCTTACCTAAAATCGGCGAGGTTTTCAGATACGATTCGACTTCTTCATTCAAATTACAAGTTTCCACATCCCTAACCAATGTCAGAGAAGGGAATGATCGACGGATTAGAATTTTCGATTTCAAAAGAATCATCGAAATTCCTAATTTCCAGTGGAAGAATCCCTCAACTCACAAGGTGTATCATCAATTTGATTGTCTTACTCGTCGATCACAGCCAGACTCTGTCCATATCATCTTCTCTAACTTCCTCTCTCTCTCCTATGGAGAAGAAGAAGATCCAGCCCTTCTCATTAAGGGTATATTTGGTAATATTGTAGTTTATTTACAAAATAGTCTAGCCATACTTCAATTTGGTTATTCACCTAATAATAATTTTTTTGACTGTTATTTCACCAAATTTCCGTATAGTTTATTGTAATGGATGAGTGGTTTCATCATTTAATCTATGTGTAAACTCTATTATATTTATTCAAGCACACCCTTTAACAAAAAACAAAAAAAAAAATTATATAGAAAATTATTTTTGTAACTAAATTTGTTTATGATATAACATATAATTTATTTATTTCCAGTTAACATTATAATTAAAATAGTATTTGATATTATATCATAACTTTTTGATCATTGGAAATGTTTTGATGAAACACACCATCGATTTTACTTTGGTATGATTATATATAGATATGAGTTTCATTTCCAACAACATAGCATTTATATACGAAGTAACTTGTGAACAGATGGGACATGGTTAATTAAAGTAATAAAGAAACTGAAACATGCTCACATACTCTACAACTAGCTTAAAGCTATATCACAGTTTCACTGCTATTTTCACACGCAAAACAAAAAAACAAAAAATCATCAGTTAACGACGCATCAACTCTCGATAATCTGTGTTCCACTGCACCAAAGATTCTGATCCTAGCTTGGAAAACGTATCTGCAGAGATGAAAACTAATTAGAAAAATAAAGAAAGAGTTTGTTTACAGTCAGCAATCGTTGTAAAGGACCAATACCTAATCCATGGGAAGAATGGCTTATCAATGATTTGCATTTAGTGTGGTGTGTGTGATCCTTTGATGAGGTCTCAGATCTTCAACTCTTCCAACCCAATGCCTTTAGCTCGCTCTGCTTCAGTTCCACATGCTTCCCTAGCCTGCATGATAATTAACATAAACATTACAGTCAAACGTTGATACTTGGGAAGCGCGGAATTAGATAATCTACCTCCATCCATTCCTATCACTTGAGAACTCTCACTCAAACAACAGTCAAGGAAAATCAACAAATGGATAGGCAACTAAAAAGAAAAATATAAACAAAAGGTGATGCCATAATGCAGGAAAATGATGTTATCACAAAACATTACCCGAGATCTGAAGGAAGCCTGAATCCACCTATACGCACACGCTTTAATGAGTGAACCTGGAGCAAGTAAAGGCAATACAATGTAGTACGTGTTTCGATATCACCTGTAACAGATACAAGTATATTGAAAAGGCAAGGTGGAACGATTTGAAATCTCTATCAGTTGAGGAATATAATCAAATCTCGTAAGTACAAAGTCTGCAATTTCTTTTCCGAAAAAAAAATCCCAAAACTAGTGTTTGCTTAAAGGTATAACGCACAAGAGAATGAAATTATCCAATTTCAGACACATAACCCTTCATTTCTACATTAGTTCACAATGAGCAAGTTAAATAGGAATGGTATGATGATATAACTCCAATGCTTTTTCTCAGACTCTTGTGGAGCTCTTATTCTAATCCGAGAAGAAGGTAAATCCTAGATTAGCAAGGGAGAAAGTTTACAAGCATAAAAAGAAAGCTGACCTCAAGCCCAGCATTTTTCACTAATTCTCTGACTTCGTGGTTCCTCCCTTCGTGAACCTGCATAAGTCCACACAAAAGAAGTTAATTCCGCTGAAAATACCACGCAACCAACAACAATAGGTGTAACATGTTTAGCTTATGAGCTCATAAGATGTCAGATCAAAGGTTACAACACTATTTACATTAGAACCATCCACACTCTTCAGAAGCTGTAAAGTATATGGGAAATGTGGTAGGCTAATGAGGCGCAAACAAGGCCTAGAGTCTAGATAATGTGCATGGAGATACTTTGTCATGCCTCGGCTGTCAAATCCAATGTAACTAAGATATAGGTCAACGATGTAGAGCATAAAATCTAAGAAAGCTTCCGTAAATACCACAATACGCAGCCGTGCTCTTGGTATGTCATGCTGCTTTGGCATCAACTCAACTGAATCTGGGACACAGAGGACTCCTTCCACAATTGTCCCTTCGCTGATGGCCATTAAGTGCCGTTTGTGTACGTCACCAACAACTGTAGTAATATATCTAGCGTTTCAGAAAAACAGAAAATTAGAGCAGAATAAACACACAAACTTTTGACCTACAAAGATGAAACATATATGTTCAAGGAAAGAATCAGTGGTTCAGTGAATACTAAGTGGATCACAGCGTCAAACCACAATATCTGAAATTGGTGGCCATTACAAACAGCTTACAGCTCACAAAATTACTCCGCAATGAGCATTTAACTATATTGTCTTTCATCAAGAAGTATTTGGAGTTAACTAGCCCTTCTCTTTAATCTTAGTCAACCAAAAGTACAGCTACTAATGATGATCACCTAACCATGAGTAGCGATGGTATATAAAAAGTAATATGAGAGCGAGCTCACTCTTTCGGTAAACTAGATGAAGGGTGTGAAAGTTTCTGTGCGAAATCTCCTGCATAACAAGAAGTTGAAATTCCTTTTAGAAGAATGGAAGAGAAACATAATTCCCTGAAGCAAACAAATGTACAAACCAAGATTAGCAAACGGAGTCAAGTGAATACAATTACCATCATTTGTAACAACTAATAATCCCGTTGTGCCAACGTCAAGACGACCAACAGTAAAAAGACGAGGTTTGGGAATCCCCGGATTCCTTTTATCCTACAAGAATCAAACCAATTTCCTAGTATAACACTTTAAAAGGAACACTATATGAGCAGGAACATGCAATAAAATATCTTACCCAAGAGGACAAGTACTCGTCAAACAAACTAATAACAGATTTGGTCTCTTTCTCTCCGGAAGAACAAATGTATCTGCCATGGTATGATCCAAAGATCAAACAAACAAAGTTAAATTACAAGTCTGTGAAACAGAACCATACAAAAAGTCAAGAAGCTACAAATTATAACGAACCCTTTTGGCTTATTGAGAGCAAGATAAACCTTTGGAGGAAGTTTCTTTGGAACACGATTTCCATTAACATAAATAATGTCTCTCGTTGGATCAACTCGAGTCTGCATCATAAACAAGAAAAATTGCCATACTTGTATCCAAGAACATGAACCACACCATTTCATTTCCAAACAAGGAGAAATCTTTCACCTGTGGAACTTTGCAGAGAACACCATTGACAGTAACCTTCCCATCAAATACAAGCTCTTCAGAGCTTCTTCTCGATGCCACTATCATTACACAAAAATCTCAAAATCAAGAATTCCACAAATGGAGATTGGTTAATCAGTGATGGGGGGGTTTGGATTGTTTTACCTCCAGCAGCAGCGAGAACTTTGCTCAAACGTTGAGGAGGCTCTTTGAATCTTTCATTGTAAAACCTACGCGCCGCTTTGGATAGCTTTGGCTCAGAACTCGGAGAGGCGGAGGAAGAAGCAGACGGTGGTGGTTTCTTCTTCTTGGGAGACTCTTTCTTCTTAGGGTTTTGAGTGGTGGCATCGGCGAGAGCGTGGATTAAACGCGCGGGAGGTTGAGATTGGAGACTGAGGCTTCCGTCATCGCCACGGACGATCCAAGGGATGTAAAGCTGCTGGGGATTGGAAGGAAGTGTGGGTTTGGGAGGAGCGAAGGAGATGTCGAACTCGATGGGTTCAGAGGAAGAAGAGCATCGGAGTGTACGGATTGGGAAGAAGCGAGGAGAGAGAGGGAATGGTTTGATTCTGAGGAAAGATGCGGCGGCGAAGGAAATCGGCGATGATGCCACCGACGCCATTTTCGCCGATGAGAGAAGAGAGAGATACAGAGTGGGGGTTTATCCTTTACGCACTAATATGTTAATACTTGTGGTTGACTTTTAGAGTCAAAACCGTATTAAACACTTTAGATCGTATAATCTTTGTATTAAAACCCGCTCATGTTCATTACCCAATTAAATTTTTATATTCATATTGGGCTTTGGCCCGTTTTGATATTGTAGGAGAATTGATTTTAGAGTATTATAGAGGAATTATTAAATTTTCATCAAAATTTGAGTTAAAGGGGTGAGAATTGTCCCTTCATTTTTTTTTTAATTCTATTAAATTCTTTTGAAATTTTACAGAATAAAAATTACAAAAAAAAATTGAATAACACATGAATTTAAAAGAAAGTCCAATTCCTTCAAAATCAATTAAATTCCTTAAACCAATACCTTCCCCTAAGACCTAAACATATATGCCAGACTCGGTAAAATAAGGGATAATCTCCCATCCCTTATCGATCGATCGCTCGCAATCTCAGCCTTGTCTCCCCTATCGCTTGTCGTCGATCTCCATCAAAACCACCATGTGTAAGATTTTGAATTTCATCTAATCCATTTGTAGTTGTTAATATTAATCTAATCCATATATAGTTGTTAATATACCAGCTAAAGAATAAGTAATTAACGAGTTACCAACGACGAGTAATTAACGAGTTATGTACGAGGTTTGTACAGTAAACCATAATGGTTTAATGAAATTAGAGTGATGTCATCACAAAATTTGTCTGGTGGTGATTGAAGACAACAAGGTTCGTACAGTCCGTGAAAGATGAAGAAGAACTTGAGCGAAACTATATGAATTTCGGAATCACCCTTTTCCTTGGTAAATTCCTTTATTTGCATACACGATGAACTCCTTGAGTAATCATTTTTTGTGTCCTTTAATACTTACATATGTGTCTTTGATCTATTTCAGTTCCAGGGGTGAAGATGAGAGAGTTAATAAGATGTTGTCGCACCTTCTTTTTAGGGTAGTGAACCGTGTAGCGAGCCCTGGTGATTCAATAAGTGTGATGGTGATCTCCAAAATGATCTCTAAGGACACAAGATACGTGTTGAAATCTTTCACTTCAAGAGGTATCAAAGTTTATTTATCACATGATGGGCATAATGCCATCTCATCTGGTGTAGTAGAATGGTGTTACAAATATTTATTAAATGGAGAAAAGCCTCTCGGCCAAACAAGAATCTCACGAATTGGCAACCATAAGAAGCAAAAACTTCGGTCAGCGATTGTGGTGGTAAAGGATCTAGAGCCTCTACCACTAAGTCCATTGATATAATGTCGTTGTGGATAGTCCATTAAACTGTCTGTGAAACTTGTGTTTAGAGTCCTAATGATTTGTTGTTTTATCCTTTAATGGATTTTTTTCTCTTGAAGTTAGTTTTTAATATAATTTGTGTTTTGTGTTGTGAATTGTGATCAAGTAGAAAAGACAAATTTTGTTTATTTGAGTGACTTGTGTCATACTGTTAACATCTACAAAAGTCAGCCAAAATATCCAAATACACTTATCTAAAGTCCAAACCAATTCCATCCGATGTAAACCGAATAGTCAATCTAAAAGTTGTACCAATCTGAAATCGGTTTAATTGGGATTTTGTTCCTTACTATAATTAACACCCAATATGTAAACCGAAATCTGAACTTTTTTTGTTTGAATTTTTATGTTCACAATACAAACGTTAATAGAACATGTGAATA